CAGTGAAGAAAAGTAAAATAAAGGTAAAAATGACGACAGAGAAGGATGGGTTTAGTTATAGAATACAATTTTTTTTCCTGCTAGACACATGGCAAAGGAAGAGTTATAGGATAACAAAGAGACAGAGGTCCGGGACAGCTTCAATGATGGATCTGACTTTGGCAACAACTAACCTCCTCAATCGCCATGAAGATTATGAGCTGGAACTACAGAGGGATGGGTCACCCTCTACAATTCGAATAGCACGAAATTTGACCCAGTCTCATAAGCCTAATCTTCCATTTCTTATGGAGACTAAAATGGAGGCTAAGAAGTTGGAATGGCTGGGCTTGACAATGGGTTTTCGGTTCTGGACAGGGGTAGATAATTCTAGGTATGAGGGAGGTTTATGGGCAGCATGGGATGACTTAAGGCAGATTAGGAGGTTGAGAGGCTTATTGACAGCATGGGATGACTTATGAGTTATTATGGGTTGGATATTTTTGCTACTGGGAATTTTTTCACTTGGACAAATAATCTGGTTGGTGCCAAGGCAACTTACGAATGTTTAGATAGAGCAATGGTTTCAACCGATTGGTTAATTCTTTTTTGGCAGGCAGTAGTACTGGCATTGCCTATATAGCAATCGGATCATGGGCCAATTGTATTGGATACAAGTCCCATTAGCTCAAAAACGAAAGAATGGGGTCGTTTGAAGCTGGTTGGTTGTTAAAAGGCAGCACGGGAGAGATTGTTGAGAAGGTTTGGAAGGTTTCAATGGCGGGATCAGATGCGTTTCAACTTATGCAACATCAAAGAATTGTGCTTAGACACCTAAGAAATTGGCATAACCAACCCACTCAGAGATTGGACATTCAAATCTCTCAACCTCGTAGAAAATTAGTAGTGCAGAAGATTTCGGATTTGGTAGTGAAGTCTTATCAAGATTATGGGCCAAGACGCAAGTTGGATGATCTGTTGTAACAACCAAGGGGTATATTGGGTGCATCATGCAAGGCTACACTGGTTACGTCTTGGTGATCAAAACATGAAATACTTTCATATGGCAGCTACAATTCAGGCTAATCAGAATCGGATAACTTGTATTCGAATGGAAAATGGTGGGATCGTTATGGATTAAGAGGGGATTCAAGCAGCGTTTTTGCAGCATTTCAAAGAGATTTATCATGTTCATAATTCCAAATCTTAGACATCAGGTACATTGCCACATTTTACTTACCCTTCTCACTTTCAATTTTTATCTGCAATTAATTGTCAAATTTCAGAGGAACACGAGGTGTAGTTAGATCAACCTGTGTTGGAATATGAAATAAAATGGGTTGAAAGCCCCAGGACCAGATGGTATGATTGCAGCTTTTTATCAGAAATAGTGTGGAGTTGTTGGTAAATTTGTGGTTGCTTCGGTCCTTTCTTTCTTTGAATTTGGCCATATGCTTGAAGAACTGAACAAAACACTGTTGGTTCTTATAGCTAAGGATAAAAATCCCCAAACGGCAAATGATTTTCCCCCCATCAGTTTATGTAATGTGGTGTATAAAATTATATCTAAGGTTATGGCCAATAGGCGTCGTCTTGTTCTTCCTTTTTTAATCTCTGCTCAGCAAAATGCGTTTATTGTTGGACGATTAATTTCAGATAATATTTTGTTAGCCCATGAGGTGTTGGAATTTTTTTGGAAAAGGAAGTCAGGTAATCAGTCTTTTTATGTGCTTAAGTTGGACAATGAATAAGGCCTATGCCTGGGTTAATTGGGGGTTCCTTGAAAATATTTTGGATGCTATGGGTTTTAGTCATTGGTGGATTCATTTGATTCATCAGTGTATATCTAATGTATCTTTTTCTGTGTTGATTAATGCTAGAAGAACAGAGTGGTTTTAGCCAAGATGTAGGCTAAGGCAAGGGGATCCATTGTCTCCATATCTTTTTTTATTGGTGATTCAAGCATTATCTTTCAGTTTTGAGATAGGTATCTCATTAAGTATAAATGCTCCAGTAATGAATCACTAGTTGTTTGCGGATGACTGTTTTATTTGTATGAAGTTCAGCATGGAGGAAGTATGGATTCTTAAATGGTTTTTAGAGGCCTTTTGTCATCAATCCGGGCTCATTATTAATTTCAAAAAGTCAGACTTGTTTTGTTAGCTCAAATATGTCGGCTTCTTGTAGGGAATTCTTGAGTAATTGCCTAGGGGTGAATTTAGTTGCTAAACCGGGAATATATTTAGGCGCTCATCTAGATCTAAGTGGAAGGAAAGGAGTGTTGTTCAGTTGTATTGTGTCTAAATTTCATTCGAAACTTCAAGGTTGGAAAAGAGGTTTCTTATCTTTTGCAAGTATATGTGTGTTGGCCAAACATTTTGTTCAGCAAATTCCGAGTATAGTTAGTCGTTTTCTTTGGAAAATAAGGATGGGGGTGGTGTTGTCTATAGGAAATGAAGCATTTTGTGTCTACCTAAAGCTTTGGTGGGCTGGGTTTCAGAGATCTGGGATGGTTAAACCAGTCTTTATTAGCTAAAATTGCATATTCTTCAAAATCCACAATCCCATCTTAGTAGTCCTATTGGCAAAATATTTTCGTCATAAGGGGTTTCTAGAGGTTCAGCCAAGCAGTGGATCTTCTTAGGGATGGAGAAGCATTCTGTGGGGACGAGATTTGTTGAAAAAAGGTCTTTTTTGGATTGTAGGGGATGGGTCTAGAATCAACCCATTCGAGGATCAATGGATATCTACTACAAACAATGAAATGGTAGGTAGAAATGTCGGAAGCATGTTCTCTTCCTTTTCAATATCTCATTTAATTGATCATGGTACTAGGAGAGGGAATCGTTGATTCACACTCTTTTTCCGAGTAATATGGTAGAGCACATTCAGAGTATTCATTTGTCTAGGGAGGAGGAAGCAGATCGGGTGGTGTGGAAATATTGCAAAGATGGTAGTTAAATCTAGTTATTTCATGGCAATGGGTAGGGGTCAGTTGTTGGTGTTGGAAGAAGTTATGGAACCTTCATATTCCGGCAAAATGGGCTTTATTTCTATGGAAATTAATTCATAGAATTTTACTTGCTAATGCTGCTTTAATGAGTAGAGGAGTAGGGATTGATATTCGATGCCCAAGATGTTTGAAGGAAGAAGAATTTGTGGAACATCTTTGCTTTCGATGCTTTTTTGCCAAGCACATTTGGAGGGCTTCACGGATGGGGCTGGATTTTGAATCTGAGCAAAGTTTATTAGTTCAGGAATGGATTGAGTGGTGGTTTCCAAATGCACCCGATGAGCTGACTATAGTGGATGCAATCAAGGTTTTTTGGGAATATGGATCCACAGGAACAAGGCTGTATTTCAAAAGGATATTGAGCATCCGATTCAGACTATTGAGTGGATTAATCACCTGGATTTACCTTCAAATAGACAACTTCATGCTAAATTGATGGGGATTAATTCTGTCCAAAATAAGGGGGATGTTTCTTTTATTATTACTAACAATCTAATTGGTGTCCAGATTCTATTGTGCACAGATTTTTGATCGATGGAGCATGGAGGCAACAATCATCTCAAGCTGGGGCTACGTGGGTTTCGATGAACTGCAACGGAAATCCAATCATAAAGCAACAATTTTCTTTTACAACATCTTCAGCACTAGTGGCAGAGGCAAAGGCATGTTTGGAGATGCTCAAATGGTGTTCACAACACCAAATTATGTAAGCCAATATTCTTACAGATTGTCAAATGTTGGTAATGCGAATTAAATCAAAGATGGCTATAGAATGGTAGTTATTCTATCTTGAAGGATATTAATTATGTTTGTAGTGTTTTGGATCATGTTTGTATTACTAAGATAAATACAAAGGATGTTCAATTTGCCCATGAGGCAGCGAAGTTAGCCTTAGGTAAGGACTAATTTTATTTTGTATGCAAATATGTATGACACTATCTATTCCATTTTAATGAGTGCCCTTATTTCCTTTCAAAATAACCCTAACCTAATTTATTAGGATCCTCACCTCTTTCATTTATTCTAAATTTACGACCCTCGCCTGATAATCCATGTATCATCCCTACCACCATTGTTCCTCTTGTAGCCTCTGCAACCAATTCACCCTCTCTATTCTCCCATGCGGTGAAAACCCTTGACTCCTCATCCTCCCCATCCTCCTTTGAAAACCCTAGCTACAATCTTTCTTTATACAAAACCCTAGCTACATTATTTCTCTATTTCTACTAATCACGTTCTATCTTAGTCATTTAGGATTAAGGTGGTGTGCAACGAGAGGATCATCGAAGGTGTGAAAGAGGTGGTTGAAAGGGGCTAGAATGGCAAATGAGCAGAGAAAAAAGTCACCAGAGGTACGAAGGAGGGGATGAGATAGAAGACAAGTACGGACAAAGATTGTTGGATGTACAAATAGGGTGGTAAGGAGGTGGTTGGAGTGGCAAAGGAAGGTAGGGAATACTTGAAGAGGGCTACCAGAGGTGGTGGCAGTAATAACAGCCATAAGTGGGGATAGTGGAGGAGGATGCCGAAAGAAAACTTGTGGCAATGGTGGGGGTCCAGAGAATGGGGGTATTCTTGATATTGTGGTAAGAGTTCAAAGAAAAAGATGATGGGGAACAATTTTGGTGGTGAAGGTTCAAAAAAGTAGAGTCCTACACTTCTCTCTCTCTCTCTCTCTTTTCTTTTTCTTTTTTCTTCTTCACTAGGTACATAAGAAGATCTAATTTACATAAATTGTTAATGATTATTTCCAAACATGGCACTAATCACCAATGAATAGAGTAATATTAGGGATTCCAAATATTTTATCAAATGTCCTAAATGGATGTGAGACCCACATGGGACTCACATGATGTGAGTCTCACACCCATATAAGATATTTAATAAAACATTTAGGATCCCTAACATTTTTCCCAATGAATATATGTACACAATGAAACAAATGAACATCACTAGTGACAGAGATGGAATAAGGTATCTTTATTGCTACCCCATGCTTTCCTAGAGCAAATTAATCTCACAACCGGTGATATATATTACCATACCAACTTCATAGAAAACCCAAGTCAGCAAAAATGTTATGTAGCTCTCTCTCTCTCATGCTTCTCTACATACTTGGATTATTTACAAATGAATTTCGAATCATTTTTATCAAAAATACCATTTTGGTCTTACTTCTGCTTCCTTTTCTGTTAACTCCCTGTACTGGTACCGCTCTCCTCCATCCTTCCCCACCGGCATAGGTGGCCTAACGAAAATCTCAACTGGTTTAGGGACACGGACTCCCAGAAGCAACTTTTTCTCTGTTTCTTCCAAATTCGAGTCACAAACTCCAGGAGATTTTCCTATTGGTTCAACAGCAATCCATCCAAGTCCAGATATAGCTACATCACAAGCTGGTCTGCTAAGGCAACATAACGAGAAATTTAAAATAAATCAATCTATGGAAAATGGGTGGGGGTATTAGTACTTAAAAAAAAAAAAATCAATCACACCTCCGTGCATCTTCAAATTTTATTTGCAATTGGCGCTCTGTCTCGAGTCCTACCCAGTTGTCGGCCTTCTGTTTGCCAGTTGGAGGTGTCAATAGAATTCCAAGTTCTCTCTGCAATGACAAAGAGAGAGCCCCAATTATTCAAACAGAAAATACGAGATTATGGTGGTTAGAATATTAGGATGGACGATTCAATATGGGTTTCCACCAAAACGATTCAATTCATGCTGTAGAATCTTAAATTGAGTAAATTGTACGATTTAATTGTGATTCAATTCTATTTGGCTAATGCATGAAACATCACTTTTGCAAAAAAAAAAAAGAAATCAATTAATTATATTGATATAAGTGATTTTATATGTATATTACTATGAAGCACGGATACTTCAAAAAGGGTAACGTATCCGTATCGGATACTTATCGAATACCAATACTCCTCGGATACTCGCGGATACGTATCGGATACTTCTTAAAAGTATCGGATACTTCTTAATTAATTTTTTATTAATTTTGAAGTATCGGATACTTAATTTTGAAGTATCGGATACTCGAAGTTACATATTACTTATAATATTTTGTTTAGTTCTTTCATAAGAGGAATATAGTGAGAGCTAAAGTAATAGAATTTGTCAAATTAATGTATCCTTGTTGTCTCTCTCACTTCTCTCTCGCTTTCTCACGTTTCTTCTCTCTGCTCTTATTCTTTTTTTGGTGTTGGCATGTAAGGATGATGTTTAATTTGCATTTGCATTTGCATTTGCATTTGCTTTTAGTTTTGGATGTTTTATGAATGTTTGAGCACTTTTAGGTTAATAGGAATCCCTCTCTTTATTTATTAATTTACTTTAAGTTTTATTTTCATGCATATTACATTATTAAAATTATATTAAAAAAAAAATTTATGAATGTATCCCCGCTGTACCCGTATCATACTTTTTCAAATTTTTGACATATCGCCATATCCACATCCCCATATCACCATATTCGTATCCGTGCTTCCTAGGCTATCGTTGATGACTTAAAAAAGTATATTTGCTGAAATTTTTATTTAAGAATACTTTTTTGGCTTTGGCTTTGGCTTTAGCTAAGGTCTTGTGATATTCACTGATGAAGGGGAACAAGTTGAAGCTATTGATCTTGAAGACTCTTAGGCTCCGTTTGGTGGAGTTTTCAAAATCTAGTTCCACACTCACTTTTGAGTGTGGTGTTTGTTTAGGGTTTTAAATCATAATTCTACACTCATTTCTCAAAACTCAATTCAAAACATAATCATTACTTTTCAAAACTCATAACCAAACACATAATTCAAAACTCTTTTCAAAACTCCATTCAAATCAATATTTTAAAATATTTTAATTTGTTTAAGATTTTAAATATTTTAATATTTAAATATGTTACGATTTTTTTAATTTTTTAATTTTTTTAATTTTTGAATATTTTTAAATATTACGATTTTAATTTTTTAATTTTAAAATATTTTATAAAAATAAATTCAAACTCTATTTTATAAAAATATTTTTAAATATTTTAATTTTTTTGTTTGTATTTGGTTACGATTTGAGTGTAGAGTTGTGAAAGTAGTATGGAGTTTCGAGTTATGTGTTTGGTTATGAGTTTTAAAAATAATTTTTTAATTGAGTTTTGTTTTATGTGTTTGGTTACGATTTAAGTGTAGAGTTGTTTTTAAATTTAAAATATTAAATTTTTACGTTTAAAATTTTTGAATATTTATTTTAATTTTTTACTTATTAAATTTTTTAGATTATTTAAATTATTTAAATATTTATGATTGAAATTTTTTTGAATATTTATTTTGAAAAAAATTATTTCCTTTGTAGTATTTTCAATTAAAAAATTGATTAATGTTATTTTTTGCTAATAATAAATTTTTAATTGAATTTTAAAAAGAGTTTGGTTATGAGTGTTGATCAAAATTTTCAATAATGTGAAAGTAATGTGTTTTGTTATGAGTTTATACAATTTGAATTAAGTTTTGAAAACTCTTTTCAAAACTCATAACCAAACAAATTTTTTTACTTCACATGTCAAATCAAACTTTCAAAACTCAATTCTACACTCAATTCCACACTCAATTCAACACTTTATTCAAAACCATAACCAAACAAATTTTCTACACTCAAATCATAATTCTAAACACACAAACTCAAAATACAACTCATATTCTCAAATCATAGTTACAAAGCTCTACCAAACGGAGCCTTAGTTTTGTAGGAATCTTTCTTCTTTATCAAGTTGTCTTTTGCTTTAAGTTTTATTTTTATGCATACTGCATTACTAAAAATTGTTAAATAATATTTTTTATGAACGTATCCCCGCCGTCCCGTATCCTAATTTTTCAATTTTTGTCGTATCGCCATATCGTATCGTATCCGTATTCGTATCCCGTATCCGTATCCGTGCTTCCTAGGTATATTACATATATATAATTAAGTGGTATGATATTTATTTCATTTTAAACACTACATTTATTTTATATGTACATACATATATAAAATTATATATGCTAAATAAAATGAATCTTACGATTCCTAATTCACTATTTTAACAAAACGATTTACAATTTCATTTGCAATTTGACAACAATGGATGAGATATAAAAGAGGAGAAAGCCAATTTAACAGATGTAAAGGAGAGAGAAATTTTTTCTGGCTGGTGTTGTGTGTGTGCCTCCATTGGGCATTTGTTAATCGCAAAAATTTCTACATCAATAGCTTCAACTACCCACACAATGAAAATAGCAAAATGATGGTTCATATTCTTAGAGATTTTTAGACTGCATTTGGTTCTCTTTGGAATCATAATTTCAATCAAAAAAATTTCAAAACTCATAACCAAACACACAATTTAAAAACTCCTTTCAAAACTCAAACCAAACTCTTTTCAAAAAAATATTTTTTTCTTTTGTTTTTTAAAATTATTTTTAGAATCATGATTTGAGCGTGGTGAAAACCGGACCGATGAGCAAACCGGAAAAATGAGTGAGTGGATGGGTCACTGGTTCAACTGGGCAGATAAACCGGAATCAAACCATGATGTCATAATTATGTCATAAATAATTTTATAATTTTGTAATATAATTTTGTAAAAAAATTAAGTTCAAGGAAAAGAAAAAGTATATATATAAAATAAACAAACTAAAAGCAACTTATAATACAATTGTTTTAAAAGCAACAGACGCATGAATAGCATGGTGGTTAGCATTTACAATACATTTCCAAAGGTTGGAGGTTCATATCTTTCTACCATCAATAATTTTGGGAATATTTTTGTCAACCCGGCGATTCAATGGATGGGTTTTTAAGCGGATTGCCGGTTCAATTGGTCCAAACCGAGTTTTCAATACAAACGGTTATGGTGGGTCAACCGGTCGGACCGTCCGGTCCGGTCCGATTTTCAAAACCATGGCATGGAGTCTTGTTTTGAGTTTTGAGAAAAGAAAATTTGTTTAGTTATGTATTTTAAAAAGAGTTTTGAATTGAATTTTGAAATTTTTAGATTTATTTTTTAAATATTTAAAAAATTCTTAATTTTATTTTTTTAGGATAATATTTAAATTGCACTATATTTCATAACATTTGTGTGCTGTATTTTTTAAAATGTTTTAAATATAGTTTTTAAATATTAAAAAAAATTTAAAATATTATTATTTTTATTTTAAATATTATAATTCTATTTTAATATTTTATTTTATTTTAAAATATATTTTTAAACATTTTAATTTTTTTGCTATGTGTTTGATTACGAATTAAGTGTGAAGTTTTGAAAATAATGTGAAATTTCGAGTTATGTGTTTAGTTATGAGTTTTGAAAATAATTTTTAAATTGAGTTTTGATTTTAATATATTAAAATTAAAAAATTAAAATATTTACAAAAAAAAATAAAAATATTTTTAAAAATTTAAGTAAAAATTATATATTTAAAATAAAAAATAATTTTTTTGAACATTTTTTAATATTTTAAAAAAATAAATCCAAAAAATTTCAAAATACAACTCAAAATTTAAAAACTCAAAATATAAATCAAAACTTTTTTCAAAATTCAAAATTCAAAACTCATAACCAAACAAATTTTTTCTTTCAAACTCAACTTACAATTCCACACTTAAATCACAACTCTGCACTCCAATCATAATTTCAAAACTAAACCAAAATGAGCCTTTTGAGTATTCAATAATCGTGGTACTACATACATCAATTAATGTACAATTAGTGTACCAATTAATGTTATGCCATTATTACTAACTCTACCTATTATACAAATTACAAATACTCAAAACTTCTAAAATTATGCTATATCATTTGTTAATATACTAGTTAGTACATTAATTAATATATATAGCCTCTGTTTGGCAAGATGGTTTTCAGGCTTTTTGGCTATTTTAGCCACAAAAAACAAAATAGGCTATTTTAGCCATAACAAACAAAACATCACATCTAACCTATAATCATTACATTTTCTCTCACAAAAAAAGTCAAAAAGCCAAAAAGCCAAAAAGCCCTTCCCAAACCAAGCTTTTTAGCCCAGGCTAAAATAGCCAAAAAGCCAAAAAGCCAAAAACCAACCTACTTCCCAAACCAAGCCATAACATTATTCATTCACTAATATTTCGTCTTCACTTTTGAGCACTCCTCCGTCCAAAATGAATAATCTGATATATCAAGGACTTGGGAGATTGAAATGGAAGTTGACCTTATCTAATGATGGGGAAACAACATAAAGAGTCTGATGGTCGGGTATCCATTGAGAAATTCTACACTTTCCTAAATGAGTAGGGGAAGTTTACACGATACAGTTTTTTATTTTTTTTTATTTTATTTTTATAAATAAATATATCGAATATATGATAAAGTTCATGTATATGTATGTGTACACTTACCTGAAGCTATCCTATAATCATAATACATTTCAGGGTTTATTACACTTTCTACTCTAAAGTATCACCAAATTATCTACTTAGTCGCTAAGGTATCTATTGAGTCTATTATTCCCTAAAGTATATATAAATCAAAATCTATTTAGTCCCTAAACTATCGGTTAAATCTATTAAGTCCTTGAAACATTTAATTCAAATCTATTCAGTCCCTAAAAAGATTACAAAAATAAAATATGAGTGTTACTATTAGCACCCATCAATTATTTTAAAAATAAGAGGTTCAAAATAATTGATAGGGTGCCTATAATAAGTATAATAAATTAATAAAAGACCTAACTATTAAGAGTTATTAAAAAAAAATCTTAATTTTTTTTTTTAATTTTGTGTTAAAAAAAGTGTTTTATTTCATTATTACTTAAATTAGTATTAGAGTCTAGTTTCTCAGTTTTTCCAATAAAATTATATGAGTATTAATATACTGAAGAAATAGAATTAGATATTTAAATAATAACACTTCACTAAAAATAGTAATAAAACAAAATAATGCATTAATTAAGTTACAAAAAGAACATAGCAAAAAACTTAAAAACATCAATTATAAAGTATAAATGAAATCTATTAATAAAAGCAAGTATGTAGCTATTATAGAAGTTAAGGCCTCGTTTGGCAACAGGCTAATTTAGTAACTTTTGGCTATTTGGCTAAAATATGAGCTAAAAAAAACTAGTATGTTTGGTATGACTTTTTGACTTCTTACCAAAAGATGTGCAAAAAGTAGAGAGAAAATCTTTGACTTTTTGGTATGGGTTTGTTGACTTTTTGGCTAATTTAGTAACTTTTTTGACTTTTTGGCTAAACGGGAGGGTTCCCAAACGAGGCCTAAGTAAGAAAATAATTATAGATAATTACACTTAGCTTATACAAAAAAAAAAAAAAAAACATACGAGCTGATGCTCATTTTTCAAAGACAAATTTTTTTTAAAGTATTTTGAAATAAAATTTTAGCTAGATAGGGTATTTTACTAATTTATAATAGTTATGAACTTATATTTTATTTTCATAATTTTTCAGGTACTAAATAGGTTTGAATTAAATACTTAGAGACTTATAAATTCAATCGATACTTTAGGGACTAAATAGATTTTGATTTATATATACTGGACTTAATAGACTCAATCGATAGTTTAGAGATTAAGTGGACAATTTGAAGATAATTCAAGAGTAATAAAGTGTAATAAACCCTACATTTTATTATGTAATCATAAGTTTTTAGATAACGTCATTATGTGCCATAATATTCAAATGTAATTCATTCCCATTAATCCGATTAAATATATTTGCTGATCATGTAAATTGCACATGTATGATGAAGTCATCTAGAAAACCATCAAGTTATGCCCTTAGAATTTTTTCCTTTTGGCAATTTGATGGCAGAATGTATATATAGCAAGACGAAAATTAGGAAGGACTGGTG